TTTTTTTACCTTAAACCACATAAACACATTTCATTACACCAAAAAATTTTTTTTAGCAACGTCATATGACCCCTTTAATTAACTACAAAAATCCTTAACCTAACTTTTTTTTTTTAACAGATTCATTGTTTTTTTTATGAAGAAGAACAAACGAGTAATGAGGTATTTAAGAGACTGTCGTCGAGGTTTTTTGTTGTTCATTTGACTTGTTTAGGCATTTCTGCGCAGGGCAGTGGTTTGCGTAGCGTGTCAATGCTAAAACGTCCTGTGTGACAGAGCGCATCGCTTGCAATCCTAATTTGTCAATATCACAGATATTCAAGTGTAGCACACACACGTGCTGTTACAGAACGGGGCTCATTCGCAGTGTTTTATCTGCGTCAGCGTGGTGGAAATGTGGGAAACTGTTGCCTCCTGATTAAGAACACATGTTGAAAGTGTCACTTGTGTCAACAAGTTAAACTTCAGTAATGAGTAGCCTGTGTTCCCTAGAGCTGATTTTTCAGGGGATTTCATTCTAAAATAGATTATTTATCACTGATGGCAAAATTCGTAAGGCTATTTGATTAAAATAATTTATAAGTGGGCTGTAGGCTACCTACCAAATTACATTTGCATCATAGATAATTGTATGACTAGGCCTAGAATAAACTATTAGGAAACAGGATACAAATTTATTACGAGGAATTCATTTCAGGGACGTTTTAATTCGTTTAAAATGTCTTACTGACGGCCCTTCTGTTTTTTATTATGTTTATATTTTTATTATACTGCTCTGTCTGTTATATTTAAATGTATATTTATTTATGTGTCTGTGTTTAAATACTGTTGCTCTATGTCAGCTTTTGAGAACTCGAATAAAGTATTCTTAAAATCTTAAATAGTCGAACTTTGAGTTTCGGGGCATTTTTGTCACTACCAGTGGCTATTTCGCCCCTAGCCCCTATTAATTTATAGCTGTCTATTACACTGATGACCCCCCCCCCCCCCCCCCCCCCCCCC